CGACACTGAGGGTTGCGGTCCGTTGCCGGACACGAAAAAAGACAAAAAGGAAAAAAAAATACACTACCAACAACAAATATGTGATTTATGTGTATAGACTGATAAATCATAAGTCAAAGCTAGATTTATTTTTGAGAATGGTCTGGGTGTTATGAATCCTATAGTTTAAGAAAGAATATTTCTAATCTTGTTAGCAATTTTTATTAATAAAATGGGTTTTGAAGAATTCAGCAGGAAATAAACTCATTAGAATTAACAATATAACATTGTGAAACTTATGTTTGTAGCTGAACTTGGTGACTATGATCTTGCTGAGCATAGTGCTGAACTTGTCTCTGAGTTCAGGTTTGTGCCCATTCAGACTGAAGAGATGGAACTGGCTATTTTTGAGAAATGGAAAGAATACAGGTACTTGGCATTCGATCACACTTTCTTTAACATCAGCACAGTAGTTATTTCATATTCATTTTCTATTTCTATCCTTGGTTTAGAATTCATTTTATATTATCTTTAAAATTATTATATTTTAAATTTCAGAGGTCAGACACCAGCACAAGCTGAAACCAATTATCTGAATAAAGCCAAGTGGCTAGAAATGTACGGGGTTGATATGCATGTGGTCAAGGTAAGCATTGTGTTGTGATGCTTTTTTAAAATTCATTCCTTTGGGACTCAAGGTGACTGTGGCATTTTTCAGTATTAGGGAGGGCATAGCATTTGCATAGGCTAGCACTGAGTACTTTGGATGTGTGTTTAAAGGGTTGAGATTAAATACTTAATGACTAGAATCTCACTGCAAGGTTCATTATGGGAAAGAAGAGAAACAACCAAAATCCTCAAGAAGGTATGTCAGTGCTTTTAAGCTGTTTCTTTTTTTTTTTTAGCAGTGAAAAAATATATATACTTTTTAGCTTTTAAGCCACTTTTTATTCTTTTCACTTCGTGTTACCTTATATCATTGAAGCTGAGTAAGCGCTGTTAAAATAATTAAGGAAGCAAAGTTGAAAATTTGTAGCTAGAGAGGGCTTAATAAACTGCAGAACAGCTTGTGTGGTGATTAAAGTTATTTCTAGTTTACCTAGCAACATATTTCCAGAAAGGCAGTCTTTTTCAAAATTTGTGATTTAAGTGGTAAATAGAATATGGGAAGAATCTGGAAAGAATTTTCCTTGTAGAGGGATTCTAACTACTCACTTTCAATGAAGATGTACTTTAAAACTACAGTGTTTCAATGATTAGAAATAAAAATATATGCATAAATTTTCCTCAGAATGTTATTTTGGGTACTCTTAATTGTTGAAAACATTTTGTATATTAACATTAGCCTGAGTATAATTAATATAATTCAGTGTGAAAATAAAGTTAAACAGTTGTTTGCAAATGTGAAACCTGTCTTATACAAAAATAAAGCTAACACATTTTTCTCTCCTGAGTTAGGCTAGAGATGGGAATGACTATAGTTTGGGATTAACCCCGACAGGAGTCCTTGTTTTTGAAGGAGAGACCAAAATTGGCTTATTTTTTTGGTAAGCAGAGTTAATATTAAAGTTACTTAGTGTTTTCTTTTTTAATGAATAAAAACATTTATATCACGTTAATACATAGTTTGGAAATCAAATAGTTCTGAAAAGCTTGAAAGTGAAAAGTAACTGTCTCCTGTTATATTCTTATTCATCTATAGTCTCCCTCCCCAGAGGCAATTTTAAAAATTCTTCTAGCTATACTTCCTTTAGTTTCAAGGTATGTTAAAATTTATGTCTTAATATATGAATATTATATATTTCCATGTAATTAAGTGTTCACATAGGCATTCCCTGCCTTCATGTATAATGTCACTATTTTTATTTTTTATTTTTAATTTTTTTCCCTTTTTGTCTTTTTTCGTGTCCGGCAACGGATTGCAACCCTCAGTGTCGTGTCCGTACCGGACCGGGACCGGCAACGGGATCGCAACCCCCGGTGCTGCACTCACACCTCGCTCAGCCAGTGAGCGGGAACCGGTCTGCATGTGGGATCCGAACCCTCAGCGGGAGCGCCACCGTGCTCCCAAGCGGTGCACTGTAGCAGTGCGCCACCGGGCCGGCCCCTAATGTCACTATTTTTAGTAGTTCTTGTTCCATAGAGAATCTCTTTATTTACTCCCTATTATGTAAGAGGAAGATATTAGTACTTTTATTACACCTTTTAAGTTGCATTCCTCTTTCTGTGTTCTGGCTTTTATCATCCATTCTTTTAAATTACATTTAAGTTTTACTTTTACATCAAGAATAGATTTTACTTGGATTTCATAATTTTCAAAACCGTAGTTTAGTTCTTAGGTTTTGTCTGGTGTTCTGAAAGCTAAGAATCGTGAAATAGTGTTTCCATTATTATATTCAAGTCAGAACCAGTACAGAGCTTAGAGTGTACTGGTGTTATAGACATGGGCCAAACATGGCCTCTATGTTGTTTACTTCTTCACAGCCAGCCAGGACTGTTAGTTCAAAGCCCTCTGGCATCAAACTCAAATTCTTACACATCCAGTTGCTTTAAAATAGCCCAATAAGTATATTTTTAGCCATTTAGAGACTGCCTGCTTTGCATATCCCATGAAACTGCACCCTAACATTTGCTAGCCCTGGATAAGGCAAAACTATCGTTATTCAAGACCTTAAACTTTCTCAGCTCTCTGACCCAGAGACTCCATACTTGCTGTTGAATGCCATCACAAGACACTGAGGTCTCCTCAGATTTCCCTCTCTCCTGGGAGTTCCCTTGCCTTCTTCCCCTTCTTGGTGGTGGCCTTGCAGCTCCTGTCTCTGGAAGGTCACCTGCTGTGAAAGACTTTCCCTATCATGCAACTCTGTCCAAGCACTGCTCAATAAAGCATGTTATGTGGTACTTCTATATCTTGTCCCTGTGTTTTTCTTGATTAGCCCTGAAATCCTTGAACTCACAACTGGTATTACATTTCCTTTCTGTGTAGCTTTTTGTTTTTCCTAGATTTCTTTGCTTCTCCAATCTCATACTCCCCACACATCCCTTTAAATTACCTGCCTTTGTCTCTTCTCCATAAGTTCTTCGAAATTCTTAAGGGTTGCATTAAATGGTTCTTCTATTCTGATTGGAATTGTTTGCTCTTCAGGCTGCTGTCTAGTTTTTATCTTGAGACTTCCCCTTCTTGTTTTCTCAGCTAGGATCCTGTGTTGTCCTCCTATGTTTTCCTCTTTGCTCTTTTTACTCTCTTGATATGTATCCTCAAGTAGCTGCCTGAGAAAAGGGAGGCAAATTGTTCAAATCCTTGGATGCCTTAAAATGATTTATTCTTCTCTTAGTCTTGCTTGATAATTAGGTTATGAATGGAATTTTAGATTGAAAATTATTTCCTTCTAAAAGTTGAAGAGAATATTTCATTTATTTTTGCATCCAGGTGTTCCTGCTAGGGACTCTCTGAGAGACTTGAGTGGGACACCTTTACAGTTGTCCCTTCATGGGTGAGGAAGATGGAGCATTTATTGACCTAGTTTTGGGTGTTGATTCCCTGGCACTTCTAGCTTGTCCCGTGGGCAGATGGAACTTGCTTCATAGGCCTGAGAATACTCTAGGCTGAGAGATAAAGAAAGCACCTTTTGTACCTCCTTTTAAGGTTATTGTGAGAATTAATTGAGTTAATACTTGTAAAGCACCTAGAAGAGTATCTAGCACTTAGTAGGCATTTTTTACATAAATAAGTGCTGTCTTCTCACCTCCTCCTCCTGCTATTATTTTTTTATTCATTTATTTAGTTACTGTTTTAGTACAACTTTTGTAAATAAGTTATGTTTTACAGCTGTTTTATGTAAGTTATATTTAAAGATTAGTGAAAGTGTCACGTTTTGACATGCACAGTTCACAGAAGTATAGAGTTCAAATGTGGTAGGTGGTGTAGAATTTTAGTACAGGTGGGGAGAT